TTAGGTCAATACCTGTTTTTTTTAGTAAGACATCGAAATTAGGTGGTGTTCAACAGTTTAAAGTAGCTTTAAAGTAGGCATTGTGACGTCCAGACTAGGCTTTGTTTTAGCTGTGGCAGAACCCAGTGCACTCGGCATGCTGCTTGTGCAGACACGCGGACTATTGTTCGACATTTACATATAACTAGCAAAATATAAGTGATATGTGTTCACTCATTAAAAATTACGTAATCTTCGTTAGAGTTTTTTTTTTTTTTCTATTCCGGATAAATGAAACTTCTTGAGCAGACTTTGTCAAAATTTCTTCCATCAAAATAAAATCGTTTGGCATCCAGCAATCCCGAATGAGGTTTACTCAAAGGGGATTTTTTCAAGGGAAATAATTTCAGTGCTGGTGATCAAGTAATTGTCCAGAACCAAATGGCAACTGATTAGAGTGAAAATCGTGGAGTTATAGTTTGAAAGATCGAAGCAACGAGAGATGGACTGAAATGTATGAATGAAAATCGAAAGACGACCTGGCTCATTTGTCTGGAAAAATAGTCCGCCTTAGAAAAACGGTGTCTGTAGCTAATGCGTGGATGAAAATGCCAAAATAAAGGCAGACGCAGCTTGACAAAATCTGTAGCAAAAACCACTCTGTAAAATGTTATCTTAAAAAATCGAATAGAACGTAAAGGGTAGGGCCTCAACTAAAACAGTTTTTCAGGCTTGTGACGCTGCGTCACTGCTCATCTAGCATGAATCATCAGTCCAGCTATTTTGACAAATCTACTTTGGAAGTTGAAGTACTACAGTTCATAGAGCGCCTGAAACATTTGCATCAGAGGAGTCGCATGCACCAAAATGCGCTTTTACACTGTGAGTTCTGTGGTTGCAGATTCGACAAATGAACTACAGCATACGATTTTATAAGGCTTCTTTGATTTACCTTTCTAATTTAGAGGACAGCCTAGCACGATCAACAAAATGCGAAGAATCTGCTTTTGATTCTTTCTTCGTATACTATCATGCCTGTCAGATTTCAGATATTTCAAATCAGTAACTTCTAATCCAGGACTGAACCTGACTTGGACTTTACCTTGAGAGCACAAGCTAGGGTGTAGAAAGTCTGGAAACTCATTTTGGCCTTTTGTTTTATCTCATGCACCGAACTCGAGACCAAAAGCTTGAAAATTTACGTTTACTAGTATTGTAATCAAAATCAACAAGTCACTTGAACTACCGTAGTACACAACTTAATTGCAAGGTCGAACTTGATATACTTGGTCATTTTGTTTTGACTTTATCTTTTTTAGCACTGCCTACTACCAGTTT